TATTTTTAATTTTTAATTTAATTTAATTTAATTTAATTTAATTTTATTTTATTTTATTTTTTTGAGAGACAGAGCATGAGCAGGGGGAGGGCAGAGAGAGAGGGAGACACAGAACCCAAAGCAGGCTCCAGGCTCTGAGCTGTCAGCACAGAGTCCGATCCAGCACTCAAACCCACAAACCGTGAGACCGTGACCTGAGCCGAAGTCAGACTCTTAACCTACTAAGCCACCCAGACACCACTCCTTTTGCTTTTAGATCACAGTCATCCTAATAGGTATAAAGGTGGCATATCATTGTAGTTTTGATTTGCGTTTCCTAATGATTAGTGATGTTGTGAACATCTTTTCATGTACTTTTTGGCCATTTGCCTGTCTTTGGAGAAATAACTATTCAAGTTCTTTACCCATCTTTGAGTCAGGTTGTTTTGTTGTTGAGTTGTAGGAATTCTTTATATATTCTGGACATTAATTCCATCTCAAATACATGACTTGCAAATATTTCCTCACATTCTGTGGGTTGCCTTTTTATTCTGTTGGTAGAATCTTTTGATGTAACTAATTTTTATTTTTTTAATTATTTTTTTTTAAGTTTGTTTATTTTGAGAGAGAGAGGGACAGAGCACAAGCGGGGAAGGGGCAGAGAGAGAGGGAGAGAGAGAATCCCAAGTAGGCTCTGTGCTATCAGTGCAGAGCCCAACTCAGGGCTCAGTCTCACGAACCATGAGATCATGACCTGAGCCAAGATCAAGAGTCAGACACTTAACCAACTGAACCACCTCAATGAAATTAATTTTAAAGTTTTCATGAAGTCCAGTTTGTCCATTTCTTAATTTTTGTCTGTGCCTTTGGTGTCACATGTAGGAAATTACTGCCAGATCTAATGCCATGAAGCTTTTGTCTTATGTTTTTGTCTTAAGAATTTTATAGTTTTTGGTCTTAGATTTAGGTAACGGATGAATTTTGAGTTAATTTTTTGTGTATGATGTGAGGTAAGGGTCCAACTTCATTTTCTGTGTGTGGATATCCAGTTCTCCCAGCACCATTTGTTTAAAAGACTGATTTTCCCTGCTGAAGGGTCCTGTCACCCTTGTTGAAAACCATTTGATCACATATGCAAAGGTTTATGTCTAGAATCTGTTGTTTTACATTTATCTATTTAATTTACCTATATGTTTGTCTTTATGCTAGTACTACACTATTTTGATTACTATAGCTTTGTAGTAAGTTTTGTAATAAATATAGTTTATCGTAAGCTTGAAAGTTTTGGAGGAAGTATGAGTCCCCCAGCTTTCTTCTTCTCTTTCTGGATTGCTTTGTCTATTTGGGGTCCCTTGAGATTCCATATGAATTTTAGGATGAGTTTTTCTGTTTCTGCAAAAAACATCATTGGGATTTTGATAGTAATTGCCTTAGATCTCTAGATTGCTTTGAGTAATATTGACATCTTAACAATATTGAGTCTTCCAGTGTATAAACATGGGGTGTCTTTCCATTTATTTATGTCTTCTTTAATTTCTTTCAGCAATGTTTGTAGTTTTGTTTTTTATTTTTTGTTTTTTGTTTTTGAGAGAGAGCAAGTGGGGGAAGTGGCAAAGAGAGGGAGACAGAATCTCAAGGCAGGCCCCGAGCTGCCAGTGCAGAGCCTGTCACAGGGCTCGTACCCACGAACCATTAGATCATGACCTGAGCCAGAAGTCAAGAGTGAGCACCCCGGCGCCCCTTGTAGTTTTTATTATACAAGTCTTTCACCTCCTTGCTTAAATTAATTCTTAAGTATTTTATTCTTTTTGATGCTAAGTGGAATTGTTTTCTTAATTTGCTTTTTTGGATTGTTCATTGTTGGTAAATAGAAATGCAAATGATTTTTGTGTGTTGACTTTGTATTCTGATACTTTGCTGAGTTTATTTATTAGTTCTGGTGTTTTTCTGGTATGTCATCTTTAGACTTTTCTATATATAACATCATATCACCTGCAAACAGATAATTTTACCTCTTTCTTTCAAATGTGGATGCCTTTTATTTCTTTTTCTTGCATAATTACTGTGGTCTTCCAGTATTGTGTTGGACAGAAATGTTGAAAGTGAGCATCCTTGCCTTGTCTAGATCTTAGAGAAAAAGCTTTTAGTCTTTTACCATTGAGTATGATGTTTGCTGTGAGCTTTTCATTTATGACTTATATTGAGGTAGTTTTCTTCTATTTCATTTTAAGTGTTTTTATTATGAAAAGATATTGAATTTTGTCAAATGCTTTTTCTGCATCAGTTGAGATGATCATGTGTGATTTTTATCCTTCATTCTGTTAATGTGGTATATCACACTGATCAATTTTCATATGTTGAACCATATTTACTTTCCAGCAATAAAACCCACTTGGTCATGGTATATAATCCTTCTAATAATGTTGCTGATGTCAGTTTGGTAGTATTCTGTTGAGGATTTTTGCATCAATATTTTTAAGAGATATTGGTCTGCAGTTTTCTTGTAGTATCTTTGTTGGGTGTTGGTACCAAGGTAAGGCTGGTCTCATAGAATGAGTTTCGAATGTTGCCTCCTCTTCAAATTTTTGAAAATTTTGAGGAGAATTGGTGTTAGTTCTTCTTTAAGTGTTTGGTAGACTTTACCAATGAAGCCATCAAGTCCAGGGCTATTGTTTGTCAGGAGACTGGTTACAGATTCAGTCTCCTTACTGGTTATAGGTCTATTCTGATATTCTATTTCTGCATGATGTAGTCTTGGTAGATTTTGTGTTTCTAGGAATTTGTCCATTTCATCTAGGTTTTCCAGTTTGTTGGCATACAGTTTCCTATAGTTCTCTCTCTCTCTTTTTAATTTAGAAAGAGCGTAATGGGGACGGGTAGAGGGAGAGGTAGAGAATCTTAAGCAGGCTCCGTACCTAATGCAGAGTCCCATGTGGGGCTCTATCTCATGACCTTGAGATCATGACCTGAGCCAAAATCAAGAGTCTGACATCTAACTGACTAAGCCATCCAGGCTCCCCTATTATAGTACTCACTTATAATCCTTTTTATTTTGGTAGAATTGGTAGTAATGTCCCTAGTTTTGTTTCTGATTTTAGCAATTTCAGTCTTGTGTATTTTTTTCTTAATCTAAATAGCTAAACGTTTATCAGTTTTATTCATTCAGTGAAACAATTGTTACATTTTAGTTTTAGAACATTGAGTTTATGTATAATGTACATATAGATGAAAATCTACCATCTTATGTGCTTTCTATGTTTGTGCCTATCTTTTTTTCTTCCCCTTCTTCCACTGATCTTTTTTCCCCTCTTTCTTGCTTTCTTTTAAATTATTTTGTACTTATTTCATTTCTCCCCTCTTTTAGCTCAGAAGCTGTATACTCTTTTCTTTTTTTTTCTTTTCTTTTTTTTTGGTGGTTACTCTAAAGATTACCATGTGAATCCTTGATTTCCCAAAATCTAGTACTAATTGGTAGAAACCCTTAGCTTCATTTACTTATCTCCAGACTTTTATACTATAAATGTCATATGTTTTAATCGTATATGCATATATATGTGTATGTGTCTGCATGTATGTGCATATGTAAAACCACATTTCTATAAAACTATTAAGATGGTATTGTCATTATTATTACTGTTATTAATATAATTATGGAGACTTTTGAGCATATACAAATAAGCAGAATAGTGAACCTGCATGAACTGGTTATTCCGGCCTTAACAATCGTTGGTCCATGACTAATCCTGTCCCACTCACACTTCCATTTAGTTACCTTCTTTTATTATTTTAAGGTAATTTCAGGTATAAATTTATTCCTAATTATTTCCGTACGTGTCTAAAAGACAACTCTTTTAAAAAAATACTATTACACTCCAACAAAACTAATAATATTTATCTAGATTTACTAATATATTTACCCATTTTATTGCTCTTTAAATCTTCCTGTATCTCCAAGGTTCTATTTGGGATAATTTTCTTTTGACTTAGAGAATATTTTAGCACTAGTCTGCTGGTGATGAATTTTGGTTTTGTTTGTCTGAAAATGTCATTATTTCACCTTCATTTTTTGAAGGCTATTTTTGCTGGGTATAGAATTTGGGATTGGCAGCTATTTTCTTTCAGTAGTTAAAAAAACAAATATTCCATTGTCGTCTTACTCCCATGATTTCTGTGGAGAAGTCACTTGTCCTTGTATTATTGCTGTTTATTTGAAGGTAATCTCTCTTTTTCTCTAGCTCTTTGTGAGATGTCCCCTGTAGTTGGTTTTCAAAATTTTTGCTACAATATGTTTGGTATAGTTTTATTTGTATTTATCCTATTAGGGATTCAGTTTTCCTTGAATCAACAGTTTGACCTTTTGTCACTTTTGGAAGATTCTCAGCTATTCTCTCTTTAAATAATTATTTCTGCCCATTTTTTCCTCCACTCCTTCTGAGAATCCAGTCACATTTTTCCTGGGTGCTTTGTTTTGCTCTTTTCTTATGACCCGCCTTTCAGATCATTACTTCTGTCTTTGGCACAGTCTAATGGTAAACTCATCTATTGAGTTCTCAATTTGGTAACCATATTTTTCAGTTCTTGAATTTCTATTTGATTCTTTTTTATGGTCTTGTTTTCTACTAATATTATTAAGCTTGCCTTTTATCTTCTTAAATAGTAAGGATTTTATGTTAAATATTTAAGAGTCTGTATCTTCATTGTTTGGAGCCCCTCTAGGTTTGTTTTAATTTTCTGTTTCCTTTGTTTTTAGCCATGTCATCCTGTCTCTTTACCTAGTTATTTTGATTGTCAGATATTATATATCAAAAATGGTAAAAATATTTGGAGGCCTAGGATGCAGAAAGTAGTAGAAGATGTGTAGTGCATCTGTGTAGAAGATGATGTTTGTTTTGGCAAGCAGCTAAGGGTACCAGCAATCCAGATTCACTTTAATTTCAGGTATTAAAGGGAAACTCTGCTTAGTTCCAAGGTGTAGTCCTTCAGGTTTTAACCCAAAGCATGGGTGATTTACGAGGGTCTCCTCCCTGTATCAGTCACTGGACTATGATTTTTTCTCCCTAGCTTCACAAGACTATTAGAACACTGTTCTTCTACCTCTCAACCTCTTAGCCACCTCTTCCCAAATCAGCAGGTGCTCTAGGAGAAAAGAAGCCACAAATGCTAGACTCTTCTGTCTGAATTTCCTTTCTCTCCCAGATCTTGACATTTTAACTCTTAATGAACTTATTCAAACCTCTGATATCTTAAAGAGATCTAAAAATATTTTATTGGGACGCCTGGGTATCTTAGTTGGTTGAGCGTCTGACTCTTGATTTCGGCTTGGGTCATGGTCCCAAGGTCATGGGGTTGAGCCCTGTGTCCACACCTAGCATGGTGCCTGCTTAAAATTCATTCTTTCTTTCTTCTCTCCCTCTCTCCCCCTCTGCCCCCTTCCCCTGCTCACACACTCTACAAAATAAAAATTAAAAAAATAAAAATACTTTATCAATGTTTTCTAGTTGTTCTCAGTAGAATGATTGGTCCAAGTGTCCAAAATATGTAGTCCATTATTACTGAAAGTGAAAATCACCCCAGTTTTTTCTAACATTCATGTTTCTGTTCACAGATCGAGGCAATGACAACTGGCTGATTAAATATGACTGTCCAATGGATAGTTCTAGCTCTCGGGTAAGAGGTTGATCTATGTCTTGAAGAAGAAGATGAGGTAGTGTATATGCATAATGTAGAAGCATATAATAATCAGAAATTAGGTCATATAAGTTGAGAAGAATCAGGATAGCACATGTGTTTAAAATTGATAGGTTAATATTTGATAGAGGTTTTCTCAATCTGTTTTTTTAATTTAAATTTTTTTAAATGTTTATTCATTTTTGAGAGACAGAGTGTGAGGGGGGAGGGGCAGAGAGAGAGAAAGACAGACAGACAGAATCTGAAGCAGGCTCCAGGCTCTGAGCTGTCAGCACAGAGTCCGATGTGTGGCTCAAACCCACGAATTGTGAGATCATGACCTAAGCCAAAGTCAGATGCTTAACTGACTGAGCCACCCAGGCACCCCTCTCAATCTGTTTTTTAAGGAATATCCTATTGAATAATGTTAATAGAGGTAGAAGAAAATTCAAAATAAGTTTGGGATAT